AGCCTTCTTCTCCGAATCTGCCACACGTTAAAGAGCAGAGCCCGAGACGTCCGTGATGCAGCACGGGATACGCTTGCGAAGATTGCTGTTTCTCTTGGAGCCCAGTACTTTTCTTTCGTATTAAAGGAGCTCAGAAGTTCGCTTACAAGAGGATACCAGGTAATCCTGTTGTGTATGCAGATTTTACGTCAAAACTTGAGAACTTTGTCTATGCTCTTGTCTTGTAATTTATTTAATGTTCTTGAATCTTCAGTATTAATATATGAAAAGATTCTAATTTGCGACCTTTCCAGCGTCATGTCCTTAGTTTCACAATTCACACGGTACTGGACAAAATGAGCGACAGCCTGGTACCGGGGAAACTGGATCCGTGTCTACAGGGATTGGTAGAGGTGAGAAGATACTCTAGCAATATTTTCTTGGTTGTTTGGTTGTTCGTGCGTGTGTCATTTTTGTGTTTTGTCGTGCACTAGAAATTCTTTTTTTGTGTGTGTTTTATTTGAGAATTTTTCTTGCCCTATTTCTCTGAGGAAGTTTAAAAATGTAGGTCCCATTACGTAATTGCCCGTTGCTGCAGTGCCAATCCGTTGTGAAACAAAACATCCTAGGCAGGTGATGATAAGTATCCACCTTGGATTCACCTTACACTTGAGAGACATGAACTGGGTATGCATAAAATGATCTGTGCCCTTGAAGGCTTCAGGCTATAAAATTTTTAAAGTGTGCCCTTTTTTATGTTTTTGTTTTTGTTTTGTTTTGTTTGTTTTTTCTGGTTAACCTAAAACACATCATGAATTAACAGGCAAGTCGATTACTCGGTTTTGTCTTTGTTTCTCGTAGAACAGCAAAAACCTCAATTCAATTCTGATTAACCGCCATGGAAGCATCTTGTAAACACTAAATCAGATTGTTTGGGAATGTCGATCTTCGGGCCTATCAATTTTGCGGTGTTGCCTAAATTTCAATTTCAATTGCTCTTGGACGAAAACGTATCGGATTACTATTTAATAGATAACCAAGCATGGGCATAGCGAGGTTTGTTTATATGGAGAAAAACGCTGACAAGTCATGACAAAAATGAGTAGATGGCATTCATGCATTACTTATAATTTCCGGAAAAAGAGATGAATGCTTTATAACAAATATTATAAATTAAAGTCATTTTTTTATTTGTCTTTCCACCGTCTGGCATCTGGCAGTTATGTTTCTGTCGTGTGTGACTACATGTAGATCTTTTGCACTTCTGTGTAAACATAGCTCGTGAACACTTTTTATATTAATATAAATTTACTGTGAAGGGGAAGGTGACAATCGTACGCCAGAATATTTGCATTTTGTCTTGACCCTTAAATTTTCAATTCTAGTTTAAAAAAGTACATAGGAATCACTGTTGGAAGTCAAACAAACCGAGGGTTAAACATAGTTACTGAGCTTTCCTGACTGCACCTAAGTTGCGAGAAAAATCATATACAACATTGAAGCAGCTGCAATTTAACTTGATAACATTTCCTTTATGACAATTGTTGTCGTTCCCTTGTTTAACGAAAGTATTTAACGTTGCTGTGTATACTTGTTAACGATTTTTGTTATCCAATTGCTAGAACAGTTTTTAAACTATTCCCAGAGTTTGTTTACATGCATCTTTCCACGAAGACTTCATTTCGAATTAGGGGGAAAATCGTGTGAGTTTAAATGACATAGGCTTTCTTTTCGTGGTACTTTTATTGACTCAAGAGCTTTGCCTGTCACCGTGTGTCAATAGCCCTTGTCATCGTCTTCCGTTGACAAATATACAAGTACGTGGTGTTAAGTTTTGGTCAGGAGTAAGAAAAAGAAAAGGTGTTTTTGTCTTTCACACGCTATTTGAAGATTCAGAAATTTTTATTGGCTTCGAGCAAAGACTGAACATCGCTGATTTTGTATCTTGGGGGCGCCTTCCACAAACATCACCTGTTTAAACCGTCAATAGCTGTCAAGAGCATTGGACAGGCACAGACAATTTGACGCTTTGCGGTTGGTTCCTTCCCAATTCACCACTGGATGGAGAAGAAACAGTTTTTATGAGCCTTAGCCCTGTACATTTTGGAAACATTACTGAAAGCAATGTAACGAGTTTGACTTTGGTTGCCAAGTTACCGCAAAGCTTCAGAAACGATTGCCGTGTTGGATTTTTTTTTTTACTTGCGAGGGATAACTCTTACCTCGAACAATCTGCATTGCCTAGTAAACAAAACTGTACCAATCGACTTATAGCAACTATAGTGCATTACAAGAACACGGCATCAGATTAGCTACCTTTATTTCGATGTAATAACCGCGTTATTATACCTGGAGGCTGACCTGACTTCCTCTAAGGGTAGGAATCACCAGTGTGGTCAGTATTCCTATATTTACACCACTTAATCGCGGTCTTCAGTCACGAACTAAATCAAAGCTGATCAAGCGAACTTCGCCTTTCACCTAAAGCGTTTGCAGATCTTTCGATAGCTACCATCGCTTGCAGTTACATGAGGTAATCCAGGCAGCCATTACTGCACTGAAAACGGTCGTTCTTTTCTCTGTCTTCAAACCAACGGTGGATGAATTATGACAAGATGAACAAGTCAAACGACACAAGCGTCTCGGATCAGGTTTGTCGATCCGATATCTCCTCCGTGACTCAAGCGATAGAGGTGTCTTTATACATTATCGTAATGCTGGTGTCTTTGATCGGGAACGCCCTTATTTTTGCCGTTGTTTATAAGAATCGACGAATGCGCACGCCGGTGAATTTCTTTGTCGTTAACATGAGCATAGCAGATATTCTCATCACTGTGTTTTACATGCCAAGAATGATTTCCAGGATTTGGTTGGGCAGTGAGTGGGGCATTAGCGGAGGACTCGGCCATTTCCTTTGCAAAGTCGTCCCTTTTACACAAGAACTTTCCGCTTCCGTGTCAGTGTTAACTCTCATTCTTATGGCGGTGGATCGATTTTTCGCGGTCTTGTTTCCCTTTAAACGGACCTTCACCAACACCGTGGCGTACATTTCCATCGCTTTTGTGTGGCTAACTGCCATGGCTGTTCGATCACCAATGTTCTACGGTCTTCGCTTCGTGCAACAAGAAGACGGCAAAACATTCTGCTCTCTTAGACTGGACTCCGAAATAGCTTTCAATATTTACTCCAGGTTCGCATTTATTCTGTTCTACGTTATCCCGTTATCTGTGATAGTTGTGCTGTACGGTGCTGTACTAGTGTCCCTGAAGAAACGAAAACCTGTCGGCGTGGATTTGACCACAATACAGCGGAAATACAAAGATCGTTTGAAGCGCACACGTAAAGTGATGAGTATGTTGTTTACCATTGTTTTTGTGTTCGCTGTGTTTTGGTGCCTTCACTTTTTCTTTCCCATCCTATTTGCACGCTACGGAGCAAAGGTGTGCGAGTTAATTTTTCCGGCGTTCTTCCTCGGTCATGCGACCAGTGCAATAAATCCTTGCATTTACCTTATTTATATCGAAAATTATCGACGCGGATTCCAAGCGATTTTGAACCCGCTTTATCGGAGATGTTTTTCCCGCGTGACTTTTGCAAACTCCAGAGTTCTGCCCCAGGATTGTTCAGATGTTGTGGCATCAAGATACGAGGATAGTTACAATCTAAGTCTTACTCCCGGCACATTGGACTTTGAACGGACTGTCAGGCCCAGACCATTTGAAGACCTTACAGTTGCAGAGATTTAAGAAGACATTCACTAGTATGTAGAATAATAGTTTACTAAGGTAGACAAGCATCCACGAAGTTTTAGTGAACCACGAAGAAGTAAGGATGGATTAGATTGGGAAGGATTAAGGCGGATTACGAATGACGAACGTGAACATTCGGCATCCGGCCATTAGATTGCTCCTTTGTTGGTCATAAGATTTTCTACCATGCTGTTATCATTCATTAGCTAACACAGGAATAACAATCAACAACTGACACAGAAATAATAATTCACATATTTTTTTGAAATATAATGGGCAAAATGGCTGTGTAGCTCAGGTGTAGTATGCATGCAGAAAAATACGTAAATATAGCAGAAGAACAAAGTTGCAACACAACTTACGGCCAAGTGATCTAGTGGCGTTATAAAGTAGGGAGAGCTATTCAAATTAATTATTTTTAGTGCTTCTACGTCCTGAGTGCAATACAAAGTTAGTAAATAAAAACGCATTTACTCTCAGATTTTCTTGGTTTAATGATTGTCTGATAATTTAAATCAAGCTCATGTCCATAGCATTGCTATTTTAAGCCTGGTTTTCACTACGACATAAGAACCAGTAGAAAGGACGCTTACAAAATACGCCTAAGCACACGGTAGTGACGACGCGCACAACACAAGCATAAGCACAAGCACAAACAGAACAACAGATTTTGTTCTTCTTATGTTATTGCTTATCACGGTCAAGCGGGAATGCGCTGATTTAAGCGTAAGTATAAGCAAAAGTCCACCATCTTGTTTTACTTTATCGAGGAGGTATGGAACCGAAAATGAGGCAATTATCCATTCTGCGCGTGTCTACGTGCACGGCTTCTGCTGACTGCCAAACTGGACTCAGTCAATAGCCTTTTGGCTATGCTCGATTTTTTTCATCGAATTGTTTTCAAAATGGACAACTTGGTATGTTTGACTATTCCACCTTGATGGAATGCTTGTCTATGGGATGTTAGCTCCCCTTCCCCCATTTCAGTCATTGCATTGCTTCCACAAAGGCGCTTTAAGAGTAAATTATTTTAGTTACCTAATTGGAGGAAAAGATTCTATCCGCAATCCAAGACACTAAACGTTAGTCCTCCGCACCTTGTGCAATGAAGTAAGTACATTACATCAGCAGTCATTATCATCCCCGATTATGGCTCCTGCTTACATGGTATGTGTAAAACAGAAAATTGCTCCAATTTAAACCGATTAAGTATAATGATTCAATAAAATGCGAGCAATTCGAACATCCCCAACCTCCAAGAAGACCGTTCTTTTCGTACCTTTCGTCCTCCTCTAAACACCTTGTTTAATTTGGTCTAGAGTGGGGTGATTCTGCCGACTCTCCCCTCCCTTCACCTTTTTCGACAGTATGTTTCTGAATGTTTGCAAACGGCGTGTCGGAAAGAGCCCATTCAAATCTTGGAGTTTTTTCCTGCTCGATTACAAAAGGCAATTTTTGGGCTTCACAATTAAAGCCAACATTTCTTTCTCATAGTTCTTCTTCCCTTTCTAAGGTGCTTGTTGAAGACTTATTTGGAGAAGCTGCAAAAGAGCGAGAAGTGGAAAAGATTGCCAACAAGCTTCCTGAAGCGAAGACATGCAAGAGCTTTGATACTTTTGAGATTCTTGCTAAATTTGCAGGAACGCGATCCTTGACTGGTTTGGTTTCTCCTTTGAAAGAGGTGGGTCTTAATTTCAGTATATCATCAGCACACTAACAGACGAGAAACATCTCTCTTTTGGTATGTCTCATTTCTGAGAATGGTTTAGCCCGCGGTTTTCGTCAGGACGTGTCTGAGCACGATAACTTGTAGTTGTGCTGCCATGCTAATGTGGCGTGGTACTCGCGCTGGTTTCTGGTTCGCTTGTTCGCATAACCCGAAAAAGCGGGGTATTGCCTGAATAGACTACTGTAATTAAATTGCTAAACAGTGAACGATGACGAAAGAGCCCTTTACGTTTTGCAGGTTCTTGACTCGACGCAAAGTCACAAAACGGCTCGTCGAGTTGAAGAGGTTCTGCGAAGGATTGGAGTGGGACTGCAAGCAAACTCCAGCATAACTCCACAGATACTGCTCATGTTTATCCACGGAATTACTCGTGAAAATATTCCGCTTTTGAAATCAAAACCAGAGTAAGTATTGGAGATCCTATTACCGGCCCAGATCAAATTAATCCCACATCATTGCGTTAAAATGTGTTACACCTTTATATAGGTTTCACTTGTCTTTTTGGGACCATGGTAAAACAAAACTTTCTCACATTATGCTAAAACTATCTTGCTTATCTATTTCTTTCAATGTAGAGAAAAGAAAGAAGCTTCAACGCAAGCAGACGCAAGACAGCGCCCTGGTAGCTCATTGCTGTTACCGCCTGCCCCAACACGTGGAGGAAGCGCCCCCCAGACCAGCACCAAGACGAATCACCACATTCTGGTCCAGTTTGGTCTTCAGGTACGTGAGCAAACTTTTTGATCCACGGCTGCGAGGTCTCTGGTACTCGAGACATTAGCACTAATAACCTAGACTTCATTGTATCTATAGATCGTTTTCGCGTGACGTTATCAAGTTCTAATATCCAAAACAAAAGAGCCACATAAGTGTTATCCTCATGAGGCATAAGAGGTGCTACATTTATATCTGTTACAAATTTTCAGATGAATAGCGTCTTTCGTGTGGAAACCAGCGCAATTTGGAATAAAGTTAAGATCACGTTTGTCAAAAAAGATGCAGTCAAACCCCTCCATAACGGGCACTTTGGGGAAATGGTCGTTAAATAGAGGTGGCCGTCATGTTGAGATAGAGGGTACAACATTTTTATATTTAATAATTGCTGACTGTATCATAGAAATACCTGACACAATCAAAATAAATCAAGAAAACAGAAACCAAACAGAAACAGAGACCAGCGACGGGCCTGCGATCAAGTTTCGTGATCTTTTACAATATAACACGATAACACAGGGTTTGGTAAACATTATTCGTCGGTCGTTGATTAACTGGCCGTTATAGAGAAACTATTTTGGCGGTTGGAACACGCTTAAGGTCATTCCCCAGTATTGCATTGCGCATCCCTACTGCGCATAATTTCACGCGTGATTAGCGTGCGCGCATTAAAAAATGGCGGCCTTTTCTTTACGGCTGAACTTCGCCATAGAGGTAAATCGTCATTTTCTCCCAAACGAGTATGTTGACCTATCATTTTCTTCTTTTGTTTTGAATTGAGTAATAAATTTGTCTGTGTAAAATAAATATGGATCAATTCTCAGTGTAGAACAAAAAACAATGGTCGGAAACGTGAATTTAGCGAGCAATCATGACTACAATCATGGTGCTGTTATAAGGATTTATTGGGTATAAACAAGGTGCTGTTGCTCCTAAACGAACATGGGGACCACTCATTTTTATTTCAAAATTTAAGTTCCTATAATATAAACAATCAATAGACAAAGTTTCACTAAAATCTGAGTGTAGAGAGGTTAAAACAAGAGTGAATGTATGGACCGTCCGCCGAGACGAAAAAAAGTGGCAGTTGAAGAGAGGTGGCCGCTGGTGGAGGTTCGACTCTATACTTACCTCGTCATTTTTAGCCATTTGAAAAGTTAAAGTAGGTAAAGTATTTTTTTGTTAATGTTTGTTTGTCCAGTACAGGTAATCACTGGTGTAGATAACCAAAGTAAGTTTCAGTTGCTTACAGTATTTTCTGGCCGCTTTATCGGTGGACCACAGAGGCACACTAATATGGCGGCTCCATACTGGAATCCGTAAATTTGTGCGAAGCATTTCGACGAGTGACGCGAGCTCCGGATAACGCACAAACCTAAAACTTGGCAAAAGAATTACTACTTTGCCCGAGATACTGTGAAGTTCTAAGTTGTCAAGACCAGCTTCGGCGTAAACGTCAGAGTAGCAACTGAAGATAGATTAATGGTTGTTAACGAGTGTCGCTGATGGTATTTGTTTTCATTTTAACGTTTTAGTTACTATATATGATGCTCAAACACGGAAAAATCTCCTCGTCAGACCAGGAACATCAGCAAATGGTGGATCCTTTCGTAGGATTACTCACCGACTGCCTCAAGTCCAAATATAACAAGGTATGAAGCGAAACAAAGGCTGAAAATCTCTTGTTCAGGTTTTGCTTTTGACAGAAAGCTAAGGCGATCCTTGTTTTGTTAAAATGTTTGCCCAAGAAAGGTGATCTTTGGTTCCTAATACGGCCCCTATTGTTTATTTACCAAACCCGCCCGGTTCACAAGATTCTCTGTATACGCTCGGTTTCAAGGGTCATTTCGAGGTAAGGGGCTTTCTCTGTTTATGA